GGAAAAAAATAAAAGAGCAGGTAGGAGTGAAAGCCCAGTGTTAAAAGCCTCCCAACCATTCTCCAAATTAATGAGTAAGGAATGCCAATGGAGCCGTCTCTTCCTGTCCACTCCCGCCGCACTTTAGAAGCTGATTTCATTTTGAACCACGAAGGTGCATCAAGCATTTAAACCATTTAAGCACTACATTTCATTTTTTGGTCCCATGGGGCTCATTTAAATATGCATTCAGCAAACATGAGTTCTCTCCTTTGTGCCAGTGGGAGGACAGGACTCCACCCCCCACAGAGCCGCTCAGGCTCGGGAACTCCCGAGCAGTTCTCGGTCCGTCCGATGGCGTTGTGGGGGGTCAGAATCACCTTGGTGACGGTGAGTTGGGTTCTTGGACAGACTTTGCGCCCAGTGTTGAGATGACAACAACGTGTGAAAAATAAAACTGCCCTGCCCTTGTGATATTTACTCTACTGGGCTGAATAAACATCAACAAAACAACCATGCAATTGAGTGTAAAAGAATATTGCTACTTAAAGCAGGGGTTGCACCAGAAGGACTTTGAGGTCGGCTTGAATGAGCTAAGCCCTGCCCTGAAGTTGCCTGTATTTTAGGACTGAGAATTCGGGAGGGACAGGAAGCAGAGAGGGCCCGCCCGGGACTGTGGAAGTGGTGGTCACTGGACCTTGGGGGAGGACCCCTGGTTTGGGGGCGGGGGGTCTAATGGAAAGGGACCCAGAATCACTCTATATTTAGTTCCTTGATGTCCCCCTGGCGATGACGACAGGTTTTGATCTGTGGGGTAGGGCACTGCTCATGAGATGAGATCCAGGAAGTTTCCCCTGGTACCAAGCCCCATACTTAGGGTAGAGAGAGCTCAACAGCAAGGCAGGGCAACAGCGCGCGGGCTCCGGTCCAAGGTGGACTGCACTGAGACAGACTCCTCACGCAGACAGTGTCCCAGTGTTGTGTCTCTGGGACAACTGAGGTCCGCAGTGCAATCGCCTCATACCCCAGGGCGATCGATGACTGACAATGGTTACTTTTTTGCCTTTAGTGTCTTTTCACTGTTTTTCCTCTTTGATTGCTTGATTACTTGCTGGTTGCTTTGCTGCTGGTGCTAATGTAGTGGGTCATATGGGAGTTCGATTTTGCCCTAAAACGATGGCCAGATTAAACCTCAGTTGTTTATATTCCATGGGCAAGCAGATGGATTCTGGGCACCTACTGAATGCTAGCCCCAATCCAAGAGCAGTTCGTTCTGGTAACATGACCCGGCTTGATCCTTCCCTTCATGAAATGATCACCAAGGGTGCTACAGCAAAGGGTGGTGGAGCGCGCAGAAGGTGCCCAGCTATCAATCGGAATAGTGTCAGGGGTCTTAAAGGCTTGTATTCAAATGAGCAGCCATCTAAGCGAGGAGTCAACAAAGTCCACACGGAAGCAGCACCCCAGCTTGTGTGACCCAAAGAGGACACATGCAAAATTCAAGTATGACGAAGGGAAAGTATCAGAGCCTAAATTGTGAACCCTGATTTGTGGAAGGCCGTGGGAGCCCAAAACCCACCTGCAAAGTATCTAGTCAGATTAAGCGGCTCGCAGATCCCCGCTACAGGCAAAGGTGTCTAGAACAGCGTTACTCTCGCTGTACTTACATAGATCACTGTCAGCCTGTATGAAACTGGATACTTGGCCAGTTGACCTCCCTCAAGGCCCAACCTGAATTTGTTCCAGGTGTAAAGATCTCCTGCTTGATACTGACCTTTGGGACATCGGTGGAGGTTTTCTTTCCTGCAGTGTGGTATTTTTATCTTTATATTGCTATTGTTTTGTCCTTACCTCTTCATTTTTGTGTTTTATTGTTTCTGTGGGTTTAAGTTTATGAAGCCCAGAAAGAGTGGGCGCAGAGATAACAGATGCAAGGATTTGTAGGATGGCTGTGGGAGGGCGAGATTTCAGGAGGGGAAGGGAGCTCTAGAACTGAATGTGACTACACAGCTAATTTTGAAGCTGATTTAGTCATGGGGGTGGGGAAGGAGGAAAATGTTTGAAATTGATTGTGGTAATGATTCAACACTTCTTGACACAAATGAATTGTATGAGGTGAGTTATGTGACCCAAAAAACTCCCAAAAAACTGGGGGGAGGGAAGAGTATTGCTACTAGGGTCCCAGTTACACATGCACACCTATATGCTCAACAAAGTGCCTTTCAAATCGTCTCTGCAGCCGTGGATGGCCGCAGACACGTTCTCTCAGGGCTGCTCGTTTTAGTCTCCATAAGGTGTCTTTTAAACAAAGTCATATCAAGCAGTGGCTTCTGGGATCTGCTATCAGTTAAGATCGGGCAGCGAGATACACTCAAAGGTTATGTAACTGCTTGGTGGCACTCAGTGGGCTCCAAGTTAGCAACGGTGAGGATGGCACAGGGCTGGGCAGGGGGCCCTTCTGTCATACATAGGGGTCATGATTTGGAACCACTGGACATTATCTAAAGGGGTGGTCTTTCTTGACTTTCATGTACTGGAAGATCTTAAATATACAAATCTAACATGATCAATGAGGTAAAACAAATAAAAACCATAACAGTAAGGGGAGGAAATATTAAAGAACTAGAGGGTAGTTATATGGTTCATCAGAACTATACCACCCTTCCCGTGTGGACCTTTTGAGAGGGACTGTCCAATTAATCTTGTATGTTTTGTGTATGTTCATTTGTATATTTAAGATCACTCGGTACACGAGAGTCAAGATAGATAACCCTTCAGAAACAGTAACAGGAGTATGGTTCCCTGAGGGTATTGGAAGAGGGAGGGTGGCGGGGGAATAGGAAGCTGACAGCACCAGTAACTGTGTAACCCCACTTGCTGGGACTGAACAGCAGAACTGTATGTGAATGGATATGCTGGATTGTGTAACACATGGCAAAAACAAAACAAACCCTATTATAGGAGAAAAAAAAAGGAAAGGGGCAGTCTTGATAGATTTTGTCAAGATGACCACAGGATGATCCCGGGGGCCTATTAGAAAGCAGCTTTAAGGACATAGAAAACTGCACCGGTGAGTCAAGGATTCCCCCACCCCCATCATGACAACGCACCTGCTCATTTTTCCAGGCTAGCCAGGGCTGTCCTATGAGAATTTCATTGGGAAACCTTACCCCATGTACCCATTCCACCCTAATCTTGCTCCTTGACGTCTTTTTGTCCATTCAAAGCAAAGGACATCGGAAAGGAACATGATTAGAACGCCTGGATGCCCAACCGCTGCTTTGACATGATGGTACAGACTGCAGGGGCACATTTTCAAAGGGTTCCAGAGAACCGGAACCACGTCTCGACCAGAGCACAGACCTGGGGGGGTGTTGAGAAATGGTAGAGCCACATCTTGCTGTTTTTAATGAGGCTTCTCCAACTTTGCAGTCTGCCTTACCCTCCTATCGAGAAAGCACTGCACGGGAAGAGGAGGCTCAGCTGGAGTTTGGTGAGTGAAACCAGCTTTCCAAACAAAACCAAGAACATCCCCAGTTTGGGTTACGATTAAAAGCCCCCAAGCTTTGCCCACGTGTATAGCCGCTATGGTAGGAACAACTGGTTTGAGGTTCTAAGAGCCTAGTGTGGATGGAATACAAGGGCACACTGAGGCTTCAAGGGCAGTCTGGGGACAAACCACGTCGATCTACTCATGAAGGCCATGGTTTAAAACAAAGCAATGGGAGGCCGCTGACAAGGCTTCCATTAGTTTCTACCTTAGGACGATTACTCCACGTGGAGACTATCTGAGGGGCCGTTACAGCTGGGCTTGTTGTCCAGGTGAGTCAGCTAAGGGCCTGAAGCAGGGTGGAGGATAAAGGGGCAGGCTCAAGAAGGAGTGTAAACCAAATAGGCTTGGCGACAGAATGGATTTGGGAGTCAAGAAGGGATCGGAATCATTTCTAAGCGCCGGTTTGTACAGGTGAATGGTGACTCGTTCGCACCCAAACAGGACACACAGTGGAGGGCGTAGGGTGGGTGGTCACAGAGGGAGTGAGGAGCTTGTGGAAGACCCCAGGAGCCACGGATGCTCAGGAGAGAGGTCTGGACGGGGGAATAAAATCTGGAAGATGCCAAGTGAATAGCAGACAGACCAGCTGTGGCCTGGCGTGAAACTGCCTAGGGAGAGCAGAGAGGAGGCGGCTCGGACTCCGTCCTCAAAAACATCCCGACACTCCCTGGCTTCATCAGGGGTATCAGCCTGCAAAGGAGACTACCAAGGCGACGGCAGCGAGGAAGAAGACACCGTGGAATCAAAGATGTCATGGAAACGGTGCTCGAGGAGAAACGCGTGAATAAGGTCAAGTACGAGGAGGACCAAAAACACCCGGCCAATTTAGCAGCATGGCCGCCATGTGCAGCAGGCGGGGAAATGAAGGCGGCGAGCACCAACCGCTCCCCAGCGAGATGCCCAAATGTCAAGGCTAGCAAAGGGCCGGGCAAATAACTTTCCCCAAACATTGAGGAGGACTCACCCATTTCCAATACCAGCCAGTGGTGTAGCCATCTTCAGAAGCATTCTGAGAAACCCCGTCACCAGGGCTGAGCACGGCCCGAAACGGACAAAGTACAAGCCAACTCTATCCTCACCGGCTGCTTCCTGTGGAATGAAAACTCAACTTCCTGGCTCTTGCACTTTAGCTTAAGTGGAAAACAATGGGCAGCTTTTTCCTCCCATGATCCTCCTCCTTTAAATACACCGTGACTGAGCTCTACGTTTTCCCCCTGTAAGTTATCCCCAGCCCACCTAAACACTTCACAGAAGCCTCTAAAACTCAATGGACCAAGTTTGTTGAAATCATAAAGACCTTTATAATTTCTGATATGTGCCTTTATCTTAAGTCTGTATCGGTGTCCTCAAATCTGTCAAATTTCTTCAAGGAATGTGTGTGTCCAGTCTGACAGATAGCACCCGGAGACCTCTCTGTGTCTGGCCAGTATGGAAACTTCTGAGCCTTCCAGAAAAAGTGAGAGTCAGAGAGTTTTAAAGGATTTATTTGATTTCTCCACATGATCACAGCTATGGTTTTACATCAATAGAGTCTGTTACTACTCACAAACAGAATGCATATTAAAACAAAAGCACTCTTTTCCTCCCCAGAGTTACATCGTGGGTGCCAGGCTTCTTGTGAGCAAGGTGTCTCTTGAAGTCTTGCAACAATCTGAATTCAGACTTGGTTCTAATAGTTTAAAACCATTCTACGGTGAATGAAAGTCCCTAAGAGGGGACGGACACAGTATGCCACCCTGGGGTGCCTGCGGGCAGAGCAGTCACACCAGTGTGCAAGCTGAGGAAGGTGCCCATCTCCTGCTGCTCCTGTGTTCACCACCCCGACACCTCCCTCCAAGTCTGACTACTGTTGTTTACAATACAAAACGACTCGTTTTTCAGGCAGATAGGGTGATGGTATCTTACAACGAAAGCTGTTGAGATGCATGCTTACCTGTGGAGACCCAGCTTCATAGGGAGCACTGAGTCGACACCTATGTCATTGTTTACATAGGTCTTTTCGTTTATTTAGACAAAAAGGAGGCTTCTGCTATAAAATCACTCTACACTGGATGACCGAAGACATTTGTAAGATGTGCACGTCATATTAAGATGAACTTTATTTTTTACATCATTGTACAATTCATTCATAAACTTAAAAAAATACAAATACATGATTGAATTGTTGTCCCAGAAAAGATCTTGGTGTTACCAGCTGCTTCCTCGGAAGGCCTCCTGCTTTTCAGAGATCACTGCCATCAAATCATTTGTGCAACTTGAGAAAAATGCTCCCAGCGTGCCCTGCCAGTCAGAAAGGCCGACTCCACCATCCCTTGGCCTCGTCTCAGACCCAAGGGAGTGGATGGCAGGGGAGATGATTGTTTGGGCTCAGTAAGGTACGGCCCCCACCCCCACCCCGAAGCAATTTGGGGCAGGGGGGGGGCCTGTTTGTGAGGCTTTGGCTTTTTGGTCCTCATTTGGGCAGCAGGATTCCACTCTTCTGAATCAGTTGCCCCTACTAGCCACCCTCCTCACAGGACAGCTCGGGGACACGTGGCCTGCTGCACCCTCACTGATCTGAAGCCACTCCCCCTGTAGGCAGGGCGAGATTGAACGTGCTGCCCCTGTTCACTACATCCTGTCTGCGGCACCCTCCCCAAGCTGCAGGACACGCTGCCTGTGCCAGGGGAGGGTGGGCATTCCCCACAGTCCCGCAGCACAACCTGACAGCGCTGGAGAGTGAGCCCTCCACCGGATTCCTTGTTTTGTTTTGTTTTTTGTGCTGCCGGGACTTTCACTACTGATGGCCCTTCAGTAGGGCAGCTTTGTACCAAGTAATCGGTATCTTTTCTGGAACAACCTGAAGTTTACAGCTCGACTACCATTGGTACAGAGGGTGAAGAAAAGCGGACATATTTAATATGTGATCACTTCACTTCAACTAGTTGTCAACAGTAACACTGATATAGCTGCAAATAGACAATACATAGAGTGTAGCCCCACAAGTGGTGCTGGGACATGCAGTACAACCCAGCCCTTCCTGCTCAGCCCGTCCACCTGAGGCTGTAAGGCAGAGCGGCCGCCTCCCACCAGCCCTGCGGCCGGACAGAGTCGCAGATCCACACGCTCCTTATTTCTTTCCCAGCAGATGCCCAAGAAAGAAACAGCACACCGATGGGAAGACAAAGGTGGGCAGGTTAAAGCCACGTTAAAAAAAAGAAAGGAAAAAGCAGCAGCAAAGGTAAACTCTAGATTGCTGTGTAGGTGCTCTCTGTGAAGATGAACAAAGTGCTCAGTTTGCAGATTTGCTGGTATGGTGATCTCAATGATATGACAAAGGGAGCGGGGGCGGGGACATCGGCAAACCCCAGCTGCCCAGCAGGGCGACCCAAAGCCCAGGCGGACTTCCTCTTTTCCTGCCGTCATCCAGCCACACGCTCCTCCGCGTTGTGTACTGACAGCAGAGCGGCATGCCCCTGGCCCGCCGAGTCACGTTTGAGCTTCACCCTTTCTGAAAGGGCTCTCCACTTGGGCAGGGGCCACGGAGCAGTCCTTGGTCCTGCGGCTTAGGAGCACAGCACCGGTGGCCGCAGTGGTTCAAAAGGCTGAAACTACAAAGTATGGCCCATGTGTGACTCCGGCACAACACTTGGAGGTGTCACCACAACACAGAAGCGACAAGAGCACAGCTGCGTCATGTGATGCCCTGGCAGCTAACTGGACCATGAGGAGGCAGCGGGGCTTCGCCTGGCGAGGGCTGGGCACTCGTTGGCGGGGTCGCATGGGCCACAGTGATGACACAGGTGTTCTGCTAGCACATGGCTGTATGGAATTACAATGATCACTGCTGCTACTCCGAAGCAGGATGGAACACACACGCCCCGCCCTGGTGGTTAGCGGCTAAAACCAGCCTTTAGGTGTGACAGTGGTTCCCAGTGGAAGCACTCTTGGGTGGGGGTGGGGGTGGGGGTGGGAGGAGCTTCTGCCTGTGGAGGTTGGAAACAAGATGAGTGAGTGATGGTGGTGAGGGCGGGTCCTTTTCCCACTGGGGATGAGTACTTTTGGCGTGTATGGGGCCTCTCACAGAGGACCCTGAGTGAGTGTGCATTGAATCAAGTGTGTACAAAAGAAACACGGGTCATGAAAGTTCACAGTTATCACAGCCATTAAAGTGTCTAAGAGTCTGTGTAACCAAGAGTCTCAGGCAACCAGTTCCTCACTAGTTACTGCAGTTTACTGCATTTTCTCTATTTGCTTACCTGAAAGAACAGAGCAGTTATAATACTGATTATTTATGATAGTATTCTGTTAATAAAATAAGGATTTATACAAAGCAATATTGGAGTTTTAAAACAGTTAGATGCTACGTTACTTGGCACAGTTAGTAATGATTGCGTACAGGTTTGAGCCAGTCCTACAGAGACTTCTCTTCTTTTTATGAAAATATGGAAGTATCTGAATTTGTTCCTAGCATTTAAGGTTTTGGTCGTCTACTCTCTCACACGCTCATCTAAGGTACTGTCTTTCTATCAGGCAAGGGGGGTTCCTGGTAAAGTCTATATTGCTAATTTGGGGGACTGAAACGTCTGCCTTTCACACACAAATACTACCTATACAGTATATATATATATATATATATGTGTGTATTTATATATTTATATATTTATATGATATAAAGTTTACTTACGTACTTTTCATCAACCATATCAGGTCTACTTAAACTTTTGCCCACTGTTAATAAAGAGCAAGCATGCAGCCAGTTTGGGGTGCTTGGTTTGTCCCTCACTTCTGTTTCGAGGTGGGTTTTCAGACTGCGTGTGAAACTAAGGAGCAGAGGGCTGAGCGCTGACGGAGGGTGGAAGGCAATTCGACATCTACTGGGCAGGGGGGGCCCCTTTCAAGGCTGACGGTGGCTGAGGCCTACGCCCTGGGCTGGAGTAAACGGAGCCCAGGGTGCCAGCCGGAATTAAATCAGGAGCTCTGTTCCCTGAAACAACAGCCACGAGGCTCCTGGGGCTCCGTCTAAGCTTGGGGACCAGAGGGGCTAGGTGGAGATAGAAGTGCCCTGGGTTCGGTTGTGAGGCTGGCAGCACCTGGGGTGCGCCTCTGTGCGGTGTGCCGTTGTTCCAGGGGGTCTGGGACTTCCACCCAGATTGTCTACACAATTGTGCTGATGCCGCTGGGTTTGACCTTGCTGCTGGTGGGGGGAGGCGGGGCGGGCGGCTGCCCATGGTGGTGTGCTGCATGCCCTGCCTGGGCCACGGCCATCGGTGGGTGGCCGTGCACGTGGGCCCCGTAGGGTGAGTGGCCCCCGTGGGGGCCGTGGTGGTACTGGTGCGCATGCTGGATGTGCTGAGGGGGGTGGTAGTGGTGGTGGTGGTGGTACGGGGGCGGGTTCTGCTGCATGTGGCAGTACGGGGTGTGGTGCCCATGCGCCTGGCTCTCTGCAGGCCCCTGGTGATGGCTGGCCAAAGGGTGCTGTGGGTGGGGCAGGAGGGGTGGGTGGGGAGGCGGCTGGGCAAGGGCTGCGGGTAGGTGGGCCTGGGGTTGGGGCTTCCCTCTCTTACTACCAAATAAGGAGCCCAGGAGGGAGGATGAATTAGGCATAGTCTGGTGTGGGCGAGATGGACACTCTTGTGTTGATGTAGCTCTCCGGCGCATGTGAGGACTGCTAATGATGGACCCCTAAAAAGGAAATTCATAGAAATAAAAATTAAAAGATCTCAAAGTATTTAGGTCAGAATGATTAAATAAATTTAAAAATGTAAAAAGTCCCCCACTGATGCTAAGTCTCGTTGGGCTCACTGGCAGCAGAGAGCAGGGCGGGCCGCAGCTCTTTCGGCCCCAGCTGCTCTCATGGTGGCTGGCAGGCAGTTAGGGGCGGGGAGGTGGCAGGACCTTGAGACATGGCTTTCTGTTGACGAAAGCGGGAGCAGGGGAGAAGGCACTCTCCTTCCTGTTCTGACTTTTGCTTTCTCTGACAAGCATTTGGTAACTGGAAACCTGCCTGGGGTTTCAGGTCCAAAGGATTGATTTGGGGGTGTCTGTGAGCTGCCTGTGGTGAGTGAAGTGGCAACGGGCTGGTCACCATGGCGAAGGAACCCGGAGCCTGCTGAGATGGTGCCCTGACCTCACCCAGGCCTCTTAACTGGCCCCCAAGGCTTCTGGGGAGGTGGTGATAGGGAATGGTGGGAAGTGGGACCAGGGAACCTTGTTCTTGGGGGGGAAAGGGGGCGGCTGCCTAGGCATTCACTGCAGCTACCTACTGCAAATCAAACGAGGAGGAGGAAGGGAACAGAAAAAGATCTGCAGGATGAGGTTAAGATGCGAACAGTGAGAGAGAGATGATCTGAGGATGAATGAAATCTCATGAAATCCACACTGAGTTTCTCTCTCCAGATTCTCCTGCTCCCACGGGCTAGCTAAGCAATTCCATGGTGTCATGACTGCAGACACACAGCAACGGAAATACCAGAAAGGAAGCGATGGGGATGGTGGAGCGTGGAAGGCGAGAGTTCGGCAGGAACATCCAACAGCGAGAGTGGTGGGGTGGGTGGGCCGGCGCAGTGACTGGTGCCTGCCCAGCTTGGAGCAGCGCTGCTCCAGGGTGGGGACCAGATGGCAGGGTGCCGGGAAGCCGGGGTGGTTAACCATGCTCGGGGACCACAGGGGATGGGGTTAAGCAGAAACTATAACACAAAAACCAGAGCCACCCCCTACCACTCCATGGGGAACAAGCTGGTGAGGGGCACGGTGTTTCTAGGCACAGAGGAAAGCCAGCATGCACGGGCGGAGACAGGCAGGGCGGGGAGGGCACTGCCCGTGTCTGTACAGCGCAGGGAGGAGGAGCAAAAACAGGACGACAGACTGGAACCCGGGGTTGAGGAGGCACACACGACAGCCAGCGGACGCAGGCGCTTCCTACTTACTTCCACATTGCTCTCTAGCGATCCCGCACTGCTGCGACGCCCTCGTTTCCCTGCCCAGGACATGCAACGCCAGAGTTAGACGCGGACACGAGGCCGGGGGCCGCTGCCTCCCCGGCACCGAGCTGCCGCTGCTGCCACGGAGCCTGGCACCACTACTGGGGAGCCATGGCGGGGACTCAGGGCCTACCTGCCTGCAGGTGCCAGGGAGGGGTAGGGGCTGGAGGAGGAGGCTCAATGGGGAAGACAGCAGCAGTGCAGAAACACGTGTTTAAAAAAGACAACAATTTTTAAAAAGCAAACAAAAACAAAAAGCAAACAAACAGAAACAAAAGACAAAAACCCGCCCCCAGCTTTATACCCCCTTTCTCCTGGGGCCTGGGGGTTGCCGCTGGGCTGCTCATCACAAGGCCAGCACTCTGAACCCCACTAGCGGCTCCACAGGGGGAAGATGGGCTTTCTGTGCCTGCAAGAAACCTGCAGGGTCCTTCTACCGTGACCTGGGGGGCACGATGCGCTGGAACTAACTGGAGAGGTGTGTTTCTGTGGGGCGGGAGCTTCCTGGTGGGCTGAGGCTGTGCACAGCTGGGCCTGGGGCCAGACAGGAGTCTGTCCACCACCTCCTGCTGATGCAGCTGCTCACGGGGAGGTGAGATGACAGCAGTTCTCCAATGAGAAAGCAATGAGAGCCTGCAACAGCCCTGACGCTTAGTGGATTCTGTGTGTACACATACATGAACGTATGCATGTATAGCACACCTTCACACACACATCTAGGCAGACTTTTCTCTATTTGGGGGCAGGGTGGGGGGTTAATGACTGAGACGAGACAGGCCTCTGTGTTCTTTTCCTCTCGGACAGTTCATAGGTGCAGGTGACTCCTGGGCAGAGTGTTTGGTCTGATCAGCATCAAGGCTGATTGATGGAGAATGTCCTCCTGGGCCACGCCCCACATCCCTGCTTCTTCTCCACGGGCGCCCTCCTCGGGATGTGGCAAAGCCCTCCCTACACCCGGAGGCACAGAAGCGCTCAGCATGGCCAGGACTTCCTCTCCCTCTGGGTCCCCAGGGCCTACCTGTGGCCTTCGCATCTTTCGGGAGTACTTTTCCGTGGGTTTTTGCAGGGCGTCGAGCCTTGTCTACACTGTGGGTGCCTAACCGTAGGGCTCTGGTCACTACCTTGCTCCGAGAGGGAGTGAGGATGGAAAGGGAAGAGGGGGCAGCGAATGGCCCCACCGACCTTTTCACTGCATTCCGTTTTACACGGCATCAGCCAGAGGTCAAGAACCAGGCACAGTGCTGCTCTCACTGAAGGCCCAGAATGACGCAGTTAGCAGGGCTGAAGGGCTGAAGGGCTGAGGCAACTCAGCGGCCCATTTGCACAGTGAGGGAGTCCAAGACCCAGGGCTCCACTCAGGGCTGCGTGCCCACCTCTTCATCAGGGAGACTGGGCCACCCCGCCTGCTAAGCTGGTCCAAGTCCAGGCCAGTCCAGGTCCTAGGAGAAGGCGCAGACTGCTGTGTGCTTGGGTCCCCCACGTCCCCCAGCGTCTGGAGTGAAAGCCGCTGCTGGCCAGAGTCAGCAGGTTCGACTGCTGGGGCGACGCGCCAGGTGCGGGTGCCGAGTGTCATGCACGGGCCTCCTCGTGGTCCCCATGTGCCTTCCTCTGCCTCCTTCAACCCAGGGTATCCCAGATGTAGGAGAGCTGTCACTTGAATGTCTTGAGGCTTCTGAAAATTTCATCTTCTCAGATCAGCGTAGGCTGTGGGGTGACCTTAGGAAAGCTTTCTGCACTCAGGTCCCCGAGCTCGGTGTCCCCTCAGGCACACGTCTGCACACGGCAGAGACGCCGTTTATGGAACCTGCTCAGACACTGCACGGGTGCGGGTAGGCACAGCCCATCACGTGCACACGCCAGAGCACCCACCTGGCCCCCAGTCCCACTCTTCTCTGGCACCCTCCCCTCACGGAGTCCTGCACTAGCTTCTCATGAGCCCTACTAATCAGCAGCCTCCTAGAGCCAGGCCCAGCCCGGCAGCGGGTGTTTAGAAGGAGCTCCCGGCACAGTTGCTCCATCAGGCTCCTGCTCACAGCCTTCCCTTTCTTCTTGAGCCCCCGGGAATGCTGGGCCATACAGATGCCGTGCTCCGAGGGAAACCCCGCACACGTCTGCTGCTGGGTGCTGCTCGACGCGGGCTTCACGCTCCGACTCTTTCTCAGGGCAAGTGTTGACTGTGCCCACTTTACAGCAAGGGTCCTGATGTCCAGGGCAGCCCGGCCTGCCAGGGAAGGAGGGCAGAGCTGGGAGAGGAACCATGCCAAGCACGGAGCCGCACTAACACAGACTCCGGTGGGAGATGTGGCTGAGGTGAGAGGAGAGTGCTTGTCGTCGCCCGGAGGCCTCAGGGGTCATCCACACTTCAGGGAGGCAGCCTGGCTGTGGAGCCGAGCACAGCAACCTTCAGCTCTGCGCTGGCAGAGGCACACCGTGGCGTGGTCACTTGGTGCAGGTAGGGCCTGGGGCCCCAGAAGACATCCTTTCTGTGGGAACCTCATGTTGGGCAGCTCAGCTGGGGACAGTCAGAAGGCCTGATGGGGGCCTCTGGCCGATGTGCATGTTAACCGATTGATCTGGGGAGCTGAAGCCAAGGCCTGTCCATACCTGTTTGTATACTCCTTGACCTTGGAGGCAAAGTGAGTCAGCCAATGATCTATTAGAACAAGTGGCCCTGGCTGAACAGAACCGTGGCCCAGAGACACGAAGATGTCTTCATGGCCTGTATGTGTGCGGCTGGAGCCAGGGGCCTTTCCGCTACTTCCTGGAATGTCAGGGACTGCCCAGAGGCACTTGATGGGCTCACTCCTGGGTCTCCAGGAGTGAGTTGCCAAGGTTCATGAGTGGGTCCTCTCCTGGATGGACGCAAGGGCACAGGATGGAGCAGGGAAAGCAGCTGTCCTTGTCTCTGCTGGACAAATGTGTCCTGGTGGCAGGCTCTCAAGTTGAGAGCTGTGAGCGCCCCAGTGGAAGAGGCAGGCGGGAAGGGACGGGAGCCGTGGGAGAAGAGCTCCCGGTTCCTCCACCTTGTCCAGAACACAGAGGCTTCATCTTCAGCTGCAAGTCAGAATCTTTCCAGAAACCCTCCTGACCTTCGCCCGTCTCCTGCTGGGGATCTGAAGTGGCCTTTCCCAAGTCCAGGATCTAGGTGGCTTGCCTGAACCAAATACCTACCTCATCTCACCCTCCAAACTTCTCTGGGATCTGTTGATGAGCTTGCTTTTGTTTTTCATTGAGGAACATAGGGCTCTGACAAGATGTCATCCCTGAGACTCCCCAAATCCAGAATTCTCAAGTAAAGGCAATAATAATAAATAGAAAGTGGCCCTCGGCGGTCCGTCTGTCTGATGGGCAGTCTGGCTGTGCAGGCTGGGTCTACCCCTAAGCACTGGCAGAGAAAGGGCACTGGGATGAGGCAGCTCAGGATCTAGGCTGCCCCCTAGAGTGGGTGTGGCTTGGCCTCTTCCTAACTAGTCCCTGCCCCCTGGGAAGGACACTTCACAAACTCAAGCAGGTGCACAGACTCAGTGTGTTTAACAAGGCCCCGGAGGACCTGTGTGGCCCTGAAGAACACTGGATAAAGGTCAGGAGGTTTGACAGATGGCCACGGCTGGAGTGTGTGCTGCTAACCTCCTGCAGTGCACAGCAGAGCCTGAACTAGCCCTCAACGTTGGTTAGTAGTGCCGAGGCGGAGGGATCTTGGGGTCCACCTCCAGCTGGAAATGGATTTTGATTTTTACTATGGAAAAAAATGACAAACACAAAGACAAAAAGCTCAATGCAACCAAAGGCAAACGTTCCGGAATGAAGAAGCACAGTGAGGTAGCGCTCGCTGGGTGCGGGCGGGTGGGCAAGGCACGGGTTGTCGGGTGCAGCAGGCTGTCTCAGGGCGGGCCCGGAAGGCTGGCTGGGGCCCCAGGACAGGAGGGTTGCCGGGTCCCTGAGGTGGACAGGGCTAGTTGGGCTGGGACCGGGGCAGGTGACACCTAGATTGCTGAGCAGCAACGAACCATGCACGCACTGCCCAAGCCACCCAGGGAGCCTCCTCTGGGAGAAAAGGATCAGACAGATGGACAGACGAGACTAGTGGGGCAGAGGAGAATGCTGGTCCACACTCCTGGCCCGCAGCTGCTTGGATAGCGCCCAAAGGAGAGCAATCAGGAGCAGAACCTGCTGCAGCTACCCCGACGTGCTCCGACCCTTCTCCAAAGCCTGCTCTACGGGAGAGGAGAAAGGGGCCAAGGCATCTGGCCGAAGCTCCCTGAGGCTCAAGGTGCCCGCCACACCTGGGAACCCTGAGAGGCTGACGGGTGCTGCTTGCTTGGGGGCTAAGTGGCTGGCTGGCAGCAACTTAAACACACAGAAACACAGAAACGACAACAGAACCCGACCCCAGTCATGGCGGGGGAGGCAGCTCCCTGTGGACTGGACGGAGGGATTGTTTCCCCGGGATGGCTGCGCCGCAGGGAGAACAAGACCCACAGAAATAGGGAGTGTCCAGACAGTTTAGAGGGGCTTCACTCAATTTCATTCATCAGCATCAATCGCAGGGGTGCAGCAGCACCAGGGACATGGGCCACCCCCACCGGCAGGGGCCGCTTTCCCTGAGCAGCAGTTCAGAAAGCAGAGCAATCCACAAACACCCCAAGGAGCAGGACACCAGAGAGTCCGGCCGGCGGACCGGGCTGCCTTTCCCTTGGCCAGCAGCAGGGCCTTGCTTTCCTCTGCTCTCTCGGCCGCCTCTCTGGCACTGTCAGGTATCGTTCTGGCCTTGGGAGGGTCCAGGAAACCTCACAGTACTGTCTGAGCCCTGCCGCTGCCGGCTCCGCTGCGGGCCCTTCCCTGCACGCAATGCATGCCCTGACTGCGGGACGTGCCGTCTGAGTCCTGCATGCATTGGGCTAGGAAGGGGGTTCTAGGCCTCGCTCTTACCCGCTTCTGAGAGGTCCCTCAGGGAGCTGCTGAGGGCGGTGCGTTTGAGGCCCTCGCCGCTGGCGTAACTGTCGTCCAGGCAGGCCCTGCTCAGGGTCCCGTTGCCTGACTCCTTCTTGAGGCTGGAGCACTGGGACATGCTGGGGCGCACAACGCCCTTCTGCTTCTCCAGCTCCGCTGGAACAGAGGGGGGGTGGGGGTGGGCAATAAGGGAAACGCTCAGAACCCTAGCCCCCGCTCAGGGGTGGCACTGTACTGATCTGCCACCCACCTGGATGAGGAGAAAGGGTGTGGGGTGGGGAGACAAGTTCTGCTGGCTCCTCTGAACACAGGAAGGGGAGCGGGGTTCCAGGAAGGGCCATCCCTTTCCAGTGGTAAAGGCCGACAAGGGGACAAAGGCTTTCCTGTCTTTGAGACAGCAGGTGGACAAGGGCTAACCAGGCCACGCCGCCAAGGGGAGGTGGTGGTCAGATGTGAGACACCAGGTGCCTCCAAGGGTCACAGTCCTCCCTGCTCATCTGTGCGAGCCAGGAAGGCTCCGCCAGGTGCTGATGCAGGCGGTGGGGAAAGCAAAGCCACTGAACTGCAGGGAGGTCAGCCCACAGTGTTGGAAGTCGGGGGCCCAAGGAGCCTGGGGAGGAGGGTCAGGCGGCGGCCGTGGGGTGGTCCTCCACTGGGTTGGACTGAGTCAGGCCTTGGAAGCCCAGGCTCCCAGCAGCTGCCACCTGGCTGGGCCACCCTAAGGAGGCGTCTGCCCCTCTCCTCCATCGCTGGCCCGTATCTGTGGGCGCGGTCCACAGGCTGTCCTGTGATGAATGGAAACTGAGGAGACTTGGGAGCATGTCAGTGGAGGTTGGGGAGTGAACGGCCACATCTGCCCTGAAGGCTGTCAGGGCCACCCGGGAGGGAGGGAGGGGGGGAGGCGAATGCTGGTGTTTGCCGCTCTGTTCTGTAGGGAGGCCTGCCGCTTACTCTCTATCCTGTGCTTCTCCATTTCCTGTACTTCGGCGATGGATTCCCGCAGGTCATCAGTGAATTTCTTCCGGTCCTGAGGGTTGGGTGCGTTGAAGTTTATTAACACTTTGATGTCCGTACCGGGGACAGCAGACGTGAGCCGGATGCCGTTGGGGTAGTCTGCAAAGGAGAGGGGAAGGCCGTGTTGGTCTAGTGTGTCCTGCTGTCTCTCTGGACACATAAATAGCAGTCCAGCCAGGTCAGTGTCTGCACACGGAGGAAGCGTTCAGAGCGCAAGCTCTCTGTACATTTGTCCAATCAGTGAGGACGGGGGTCGACAGTGGCTGACTTTGACCCATCTGTTTCACGAAACAGAGAGCACATCTGGTCAATCCTGCGAGGGAAGCTTGGGCCCTTGTCATCCTCCCATCTCCCAGAGCCCCCGGAGCTCCCAACCCTGGATGTCCACACCTCGGTGCTTGCCAGGGTGCTGGTGCTGAGAGCAGGAGGTAGACTGGCGTAAGGGAGGGTCCGTCTCCAGTGACCTCAGAGACTTGTGAGACTAGACTGAGCTCTGTTCTCTCCTGAGGCCCCGAGACCCACAGTTCCCTTAGGGTATGCTGTATACACTTTACACCAGCACACACTATGCCCAGAGCCAGCATCTTGCAGCCAAGACTCTCCTGGTACCAGCTCTTAGCTCTTGGGGTGTCCTGGTGCCACCTTTCTTCCCAGCAGGTAATGCTTGGCTGAGCACCACCCTCAGCAGCTGATGCCACCTTTGTTCAGATCTAGATATGGGCTGGCAACTCAAATGCCTACAGGCCCACGCAGGTATCCCAGAAGGCACTGGGCCAGGAGTGGGTGTGAGCCCAGGGAGTGCTGGGGCACAGGTGGACTGAGCAGTTCATTAGCGGCATGTGCACTCACAGGGGTCAGCGATTCTGAACCTTTTTTTTCCTTTGAGAAGCTCCCCAGCTCCCCCCACCGCCCCAATCTACATTTTGATGTGAAGCCCATTGATTTAGCGGTTGGCTCAACAAAGACGAAGGAAGAAAATTAAAGACATGCCAATAATGAGTCCAAAAGATTAATGGACCACTGGCACTTCAGTTTCCACTCTGAGACCAGAACGAGACGGTGCTGAGCACCACGGCTGACTACTCTGCACGAGATCGCAATAGAGGGTCCTGGGCACAGTGGGAGGACTGTGGGGCAAAACTCAAAATCATAAAACAGTTATGCTCACTGGCTGGAGGGAGGCGCAACTGTGGCTGTTAGGGCTGTGGCTCCCTTTCGAGTCAGACAAGAGTGTGGGGCAGGCACTCCTCGGTTAGACCCACCCGGAGCTCAAGGGGCAGCAGTGGGTCAAGAACAAGGTTCAGCAAGGCTAGGAGAGGGGGCAGCCTGGAGACAGGTAGGAATGATGTTGTTTTGTGGGGACTGCAATCAACGAGGCCCAACCAAGTACGAGTAAGTGACTGAGCAGAAAACCTTCACTCAGGTCAGAAGAAAGTAAAAAAAAAAAAGGTGATGATTGTGCCACTTTTTAAATATGCAAACCAAATAGAACATGACAGAGCCAGGGGCTGGTCCACCGGATGCTAGTGAGAGACCTCGGCTGTAATGATATTCCCTATAGAAATTCCAGGGTCTATTCTTGCCAGTACCTAGTGTTGGAAGGCTGAAACCTGGGATTTGGAAGATGACCTGTTACAAGCTCTGCCTCAGGGTTCAGCCAGTGCCTGGCCCCTTGTGGGCGCTTAATTGCTATCCCCTCACTGAGATCTTGCTTAAGCCTGGGAGGCAGGGGTCATCACCGCACTGCATCATAGGGAACTGGTGGTCAGGACAGCAGGGGAAGGGTGCCACCCATCTCTGATACCAAGATCCTGGATGCTAGTGTGTGGGAAACCAAGGCAAACACAGCTTGGTTGGGTGGCCGGGGTGGGGTGGACAGTGTAGGGCACGGGAACACTGTCAAAACCACAGTCCAGGACGCACCACAGGAACCTTGGGCTCATTATGGGCAGGGCAGGGCAGACACCTATGGGTGCGGGTGCCCTCTGCTAGGCTACCTCACAGTCCCACTTTGGACAGAAAAGGGGACTGAGAGCCCAAACCCATGCTCTCAGGCCGGTCATGTAGCAATGCAACCACCTGTCCCGGGCGGACGGAACACTGATGGCTGCCCTTGGTCTAAAGCTCAGGAACTTCTGACAGGGAAGGCACAGGAGGGAGAGGCAGAGAGGAAAGAGGGTGGTGAGAAGAAGCAGGGTCAAAGGAAGAGGCTGGGTGATGTGCCATGGCTGTGAGCCAACGTACCCCTCTCAATTCCCCAGGCCCCACGGCCTGCTCACTGCTGAGCACACAGCATAAAGCTTCACTCACTAAGCACATACTACATGCCAGCCATTATTCCAGGTGCTCCCCAGGCACGGCTCACTCAACGTTGCAGGCAACCTATGAAGCAGGTACCCCCATCGCCTCCACTGAATAGTCCAAGGGGCTCAATGGGCCAGCCCCCAGTGAGTGAGGAAGGCCCAGCAGGGAGGCTGCGCGGAGACTTACGCTGGCTCTCGAAAAGCAGGACCTGCATGCCGTACAGGGAGAAGGACTGTCGGAAGCTGTACGTCACTGAGTTCTTCTTCTTCTGGAAAATCTTGGTGACCTGTAGCAGCCAGACACAGAGACCTGAGCCGCTTGTCTGCACTGCTCCAGAGCGACCCCCAGATACACCCCAGCTCCACACTGGGGAACTCCAGATTCCCAATGGCCCTGGCTGGAGAGACGACTCTGCAGTTCAGAGGTAGAAGTACCTGGGCAGGGAAGGGCCAGCATGGGGAGGAAGGCCTGCCCGCTCGCATACTGTGATGGAACACTGGTGTCTGTTGCTACCGGTCCCCAGTGCCAGCATGATGGAAGCGAAGACCGACACGGCAGTCGAGGTGGCAGGCACCCTGCTGTGCGTGGCCCGACACCATCATAGCCAAGCGGGGACACACCTGGGGTTGCTAGCCTGAGAGGGTGGGCAGGGTAGGCAGCCAGTGTCCACTCGCACCAGCTCATATGAGGAAAGCCATCACCGTATCCTCTGCTGGAAACAGTCCCTGTGTGTAAGCGGCATCTGACCGATGCCCAGCCTGAAAGACTGCGCCTGTGCCAGAGAACTTAACTCTGTCAGTCCCTGGACCATGCTCCTCTGCTGTGAGTCTGTGTGAAGAGATGGGGAGACACTATCCTGACAGCCACAGTGGGCTGTTCAGCACGGGCTGGGAGGGAAGGGAAGCGGTAATTATTGAGTGCCCAGCTTATGCCAGGCACCATGCAAGGTTCCATGTGCAGGACCCTGTCTGGCCATGGTAACTGAGCATTTTTTAAGAGCATGGGTCGCCCAATTCATAACAGTAGGAAATGACAGTGATGAAGTAGCAACGAAAATAATTTTATGGTTGGGGGTCATCACACCACAAGGAACTGTATTACAGGGTCATGGCATTAGGAAGGTTGAGAACCACTGTTCTTAAGGCTTCTTACTGAAGAATAGTAACTCACATGGTCTTAGTAGTCGAGAAGCCCTGGTGGCAGAGTGGTTACAGGGTGGGCTGCTAACAGCAAGGTCAGCAGTTCAAAACCACTAGCCGCTCGGTGGGATAAAGAAACTCAGGGGCAATTCTACCCTGTCTTATATGGTCACTTTGAGTTGGCATCAATTCGATGGCAAGAGTATGGTTTTGGCTTGGTCTTAGCAGTCAGAAAGGACCTTCTTCCTCCCATCCAATCAAGCCTGTGGCTGGACAGGGCCTTCTGCAAGAAGACTGGGGCCTGCAGGAGGGACAGAACCTGGGAGCACAGGCAGAGCTGGACATCCCACCCCAGGAGGGGCTAGCATCCGCCCACCTTTTCTCTGGCAGCAGGTCTGTTTCCCTTGGGGAGCCTTCCGGGGCGTGGGGCTGTGACTGTGCCCTGCCAGTAAGAAAGCACTGCTCTCTCCCACCAGTGACTAGTTTAGGGAAGGCGTAGGAAGCCGGAGGATTCGTTCTGAGACATTTGCTCCAACTCTCAGTGAGAGGCCCCCACTTGATGCGGGCTGCGGGGAGCTGTTGGGGCATTTCCCCTGGGTGGACAGAGCCAGCCTGAGTAGGGAGCCCAGCGACAAAGAAAGCCTGTGCAGCACAGAGGGTGCTGAGAAGAAGCCCTGCCCACAGGGTGGGAGTCTCTGTCTGGGAGATCCCTTCTGGTGTTTTCCATGGGCAACGAAAGCCCACTTCTCATTTGCATTCTGTGTGATTTTTGTCCCTTCTGGGCTCATAGTCTCTCTTCCCCCAACCTTGCCCGGGTACAGACACACAGCTTTTGCCCCCTGCCAGAAGCATACCCACCCAGCACCCTGTAGAGGAACGTACCACCAAGAGATCGTTAAACAGGAATATTTCTCGCTGGTGCAGCCCGAGTTTCTGGGGTTTATTTGGGTCTGGAACCTCGAAGAGCCGGCAGTAGCAGACCAGCCTACGATGGGGCAGAGAAAGTACCTGTGCAGGGAGAGAAAGTCCCGCCATGAAGCGCCCCACCCATCCACTGGGACCAGGGCACACCCTTCATAGGGCCACAGCAAAGGGGCCGAGCCCAGTTTGCCAAAAATCCAGACTGGGGCATCACATTTTAAAAGGCCTCCCCTTGCACACCATGCACAGGAGGGCATCCGTCCCGTCCCGGTACCCCGCCCCTCCCTGACACACGCGTTCTGCACCCAGCAGCTGCTGGTTCAGATCCTCTGTTCATGCTCTCTCTAAGGCCTGTGGGAAATGCCCTTGGGACTGGCCAGACTGCTCTCCGGTTCCTTGGGCAGTTAACAAGACCTGAAGCACTTACTGATGAGGATCCACCACATCGGGTCAGAACACAAAGACCCTCACAACTGGGCCAGTAAAGCAACATCACAATCAAGGGGAGACAGACTGACGCTGCCTGGGCATCTTACTTGGATCGACAAGCAAGGCCTGCAGAAGGAGCAGTCGAGACACCGTGCCGTGCACTGCACAGTGCGTTGCACCCAGCAAATCTATGCCCAAGAACTCCTTGAAGTATCTGAGGACTAAGGTGTGCCTGACCCAACCCATGGCAATTCCAGTTGACTGAAAGCTGGACAATGAACAAGGAAGATCGGGGAAGCATCATGGGAGGTATGGTGTTGGAGAAGAAAACTGAAGACACCACGGACATCCAAAACCATGAACAAGGCATCAGCTACGTCCAGCCTGTGCGATCCTGTGACTGTACATGATAAAATCCACATCTGAAGGAGAGAATGCTATCAGACCTTAATTTGCGAGCACCTGATTTGCGGAAGGCTATGCATGACAGTGAAGCCCCAAATCCATAGGCAGGGTCCACACATAGATTAAGCTTCTGGAGAATCCCCTCTGAAAACTCGCTATCACACCGAGAGCACTGTAAAGTCAATGATGGCAGATCTGGCAGTCATTTGGTTACAATGTAACACCTTATCATTTGATCTATGTAGCATCTACCATTTGTAACACCTCCTTTTTGATCTACTGTAAAGCAATATTTTCTGCTTTCTTTTTGATGGAAGTCTCTGTTTGTCTAGTCACTGTTTTGGTTTTGTGCACTTCCAGCTCACGCTTTACATGCTTTTCTGTATTTGGAATCCAGGACAGGTGTATCTCGAGCGACAGTAACTGGATTGATAACGGCCATGGGAGGATGCTAGGGGAGGAGGGTGGGAAACGGAGCGCCAACAACGAGGACGAGAGGAAGATGCTCTGAAATGGACTGTGGTGCTGACTGCACCAATCTTAATAGAATTGATGATTAAATTACATGATATTTGAAGTATATGCCAATAAAACCTTTGAAAACAGCAATGAACTAATCTGTATTATAAGAAGTGCAGCCAGAATGCTCCTTCAAAGGGAAGATGGTGATAACTTGGTCTCAGGTCCTTTGGACATGAACGTGAGCATTCAGGCCCTAGAAGAGGACATCACGCTGGGTAAGGCAGGAGATCCGGGAAAAAGAGGACGATTCTCAAGTGCGATGGATTAACAGTGGCTGAGACACGGGGCTCGCACAGAGTAACCACCGTGCGGCCGGCGGGATGGGCAGTGCTTCCTTCTGACACTCAGGGTTGCTGTGTGCCAGGAGCGACCTGCAGGCCCCTCCCATAGGCCTCCCGCTCAGGTCCGTGCTTTGAGCCGCCATACCTAAGGCACAGAGAGGTTAAGCAACTTGCCCTTAAACACTTGGTCCCAGGTGCTTCGATTTCTCCTTGACCAAACCTCTTCCTACCACAAAAGACATGAAACGTTCTGACATCGGAAAGACCCCTCCACATTCTGAACCAGACCTGGGATGCCTTGGGAGACCTGGCTGCTCTAACCCTATCATCACCCAGTTTCCAGGGCCCTTGTCCTCACCTTCCAAATCACATGCCTGAGCCCAAACACACTCACACCGTGGGTTCCAGGGAACCGCCCCAAGCTCCCTTCAGGCTCCTCAGTCAGCCAGTGTCTCAGTGTCCAGGCTTGGCTGCCAGGAGCTCTGTCTCAGCAACAACATGGAGGGGGAGAAGGAGGGCAAACTGCCCAGGCTGATAGGTGTCTCCTAACTAAGGACCTCAGGGAGCTGAGACAAAGGGCAGGAGAACTGTGGCAAACAGGGTGGCGTGTGCAGGGAGCAGCCCTGTGGGCACAGGAGGATGAAGGAGAAAGAGTGGTGGGACCTGGGGCTGCGGGGCAGCAAAGGGCCAGCCCAGCACGGGACTTTTCAGAGTCCCAGGCTCTCCCCATGGGAGGGTGATGAGATGCACTGACAAGGTTCCCCAGGTGGAGGTGGCGTGGGGAACTGTGGGTGTGGGATAATGACAGACCACAGCTGACGTGCAGGAGACTGGACGGGAGGAGCGTGTGCTCCAGGGTGTGCAAGCAGACGCCACTGGGGCAGTGGGGATGGTCGTGCAATGAGCCTTTGGTGGACAAAAAGGAGAGGCCACGAGAACAAAGGCCTGGAGGACAATCTTCGCCAGCAAGTGCAGAAGAAGCCAGCGCTGAGGCCATGAAGGACCCGAGGGCACAGTGAAACTGTCTCGGTGGAGGGCTTGGGGACAGGGAGGGACTCTTGTTAGCTCCCGGGAAGCTTTCTGCCAGCACACCTAGACTCCCCCTATCAGCTCTGGGCCAGCAAGGATGTAAAGCTACGGTAATGACGAGAATAAAATTTCTCATCACTCCAGAAATTCATTCCATCGCCCAGAAAGTTAGAGATGGGGTCTGCTGTCTCCAGTCGGATTGTAAGCACAGAGAAATACTCACACAGCCAAGCCCAGGGTGCAGGGATCCGATCTACGGGAGAGAATGGGAGACAAAAAGAGAAGTTAATGCTCCAGGGGGTGCGCGTGGGCCCCGAGGTTCAGTGGCAAAGCAGTCCCCACAGCATTTTCTCTTGGCCTCCAACCAGCCATGCCACAGGGCATGTGCCAAGTGGGAGACTGGTCAGCAGAGCTCCAAGGGTGCTGTGAGGAGACACCTGAGCTAGCTCACTGAAGAAGCCCACCAGCATGGGGGTAGGGAGCTCAGAGCACAACTATCACTGTTCTGAAATGCTGAGTACAGGTCCACTCCTCCCCACTATTAGGAGCCACTGCAGAAACAAACAAACAAACTCTGCAATGCACACAACCCTGCCTGGGAGGGGCAAGGTTCCTGACAGTGGCATCCAGGTCACTGCTGGGCCAGAAGAGTTGTCTAGGCCCAGGTACCCACAGAAACCCACCCGCTTGGTGAGACCAGGGCCCCACGTACCGGCTTCTTCCCCACAATGAGCTTCTCCACCTTCTGCACCTGAGACACATGGTCCTCGTTGGTCTTTAGCTCTCGCTTTCGGATCCGCTCATAGATCCCAATGAGCATCTCCCGGGGAATGTCCTCACCATCGTCCACACCTGGGAGGAGACCGCAGCCAGAGGTCAGGTTGGTGCTTGGACGCTGCGGCCACTCAGTCTCACCCCTTGGACTTGACCGCTTCTAAACCATGCCAGGATAGATCCCTGTCACCGTGCCCAACAGAACCAAGGGCCTGCCAGACACACAGGTGCCGAACATAGGCAATGACAAACCCCTCAGAATCCCTCCACCAGGAGCAAGGCCTCTGCTTGGACAGCTGTGAAGGGCTGCACCCCTTCGAGGCTGTGCCCAGAGAGCTTTGCAACTAGGGCTTTCTCGCGGCCCTGTGAGGTGGGCCTAACCATGGTTGTCCATTCTAGCTCACTGTGGTCTCCCTCCTCCTTTTGTGTCTCTGCTCAGAGGAGGGCAGGGGGAGGGAGGGTGTGAAGCTCAAGTCTGGGCGGCGTTCAAGCTTTTGTCCGTTCCTAGCTGTGTGGCCAAGGGCAAGTGACCGAGCCTCTTTGCTTGCTGCCGTTGTTTCTACAGCCGCCACCCAGAGAAAGGCGGGCTGCACGGGGCTGTTGAGGACCGAGGAGAAGCACACGTGTGCGCGGCACAACTCGGCCCCGAGCGAGAACACCCAATGCTGCTGCTCCCCATCTCAAGGCAGAGGCAGGGCCAGGACTTGAACCCAGTGGCTCTAACTGCAAGCCTGTCGTCTTTCTGACATGGCAACTGAACAGCTATTGTGAAAACAGCAACGTGGCTCATAAGAGAAATGCAAATTCTTATTCTGGGGTGATCCAGAGGAGGGCACAGGTTGGCGAATAGGCTCTGTGGGTGAGGCTGCAGGAAATGGGCCTTCCTCTGTACTATTGGAGGGGTGGGGAAAGGGTCAGTTCCTAGGTGGGCAGTTTGGAAATGTTTGTCAAAATTATAAATTCAAACACCTCTATGCTGGCTGATTGCATTTATACCACGGGGAATTTATGCCATAGGAAATGGGGCACTGATACACACCTAAGATCATTTATCACAGGATTGTTTCCCAACAACTGCTTACCATTACCATGGGACCGGCTGAGCAATCATCATCCATCAGTGTGACAGCACCCTATGTGCCCAGGCAAAAAGAATGAGGAAGCCCATGGTGAACTAATAGGGACACTTCCTCTTAGACTTAGATAAGTGAACAAATGAAGGCGCAAAATGTCTACATATATATACACACTCTACCATAAGAAAACAAAACTAACTAGCACAATCAAATGGTACCTGGCCATAAAGAGAAATGAATTCCTAGTGTATGTTATGATGCGATGCTACGAAGACCCTTGAGGAGACTATGCTGAGCAAGTAAGTCAGTTGAGATAGACAAATACTGTATGGTGCAAACAAAGCCAAATTCACTCTGCTGGGTCAACGCTGACTCCAAACTCACAGTGAATGAGTCGATGCCAACGCAGGTGACCCTACAGGACCGGGTAGAACTGCCCTGTGAGTCTCTGAGTTTCTACTCCTTACGGGAGTAGTTACATTGGAGCGGCTGGTGGCTTTGAAGTGCTGACCTGGAGGTTGGCAGCCCCGTGCATAAAACCACTATGCCACCAGGGCTCCTCACGTACAGAAAAGTAAGAAAACATACAGAAATAAAAAGCATTACTGGTTGCAGGGTTGGAGATGAAGAGAGGGAGCTTTGCTCAGAGGACAATGAGTTCACGTGCGTGGCGGTGCACTAGCTGGAAATAAAGCAAGGGGACACAGTCCATGTCACGGAGCTACACACGCAGAAGCTGTTGAAGTACCCTTTGCTGTGTATGTTCTCAAAATAAAACAAATGAAAAAAGCAAAACAGCAAGATTTAAAAACAGTCATGCAGGGGGAGGGAGGGTGAAAAAGAAGAGCCGATAACACCAAGGGCTCAAGTAGAAAGTACATGTTTAGAAAATGATGGCGGCAACACAGGTACAAATGTGCTTGATACAACTGATGCATGATTGTTCTAAGGGCCCGCAATAAAAACACAAGCCACCGTGCACATTCCCGTATTTGCTTGACCAAAGAACCCAGCAGGATGCGTTCCTCTATTTTCCCACCAGGTAAGGTCAAGCTTCCTAACTCACTGCCATGGGCTGGACTGGCTCACAGTGACCTATGGAGAGAGCAGAGCTGCTCCTTAAATGCCACTCCAAACATTAAAAGTAAGTTTTTGATTTTTTTTTTTTTACAAATCATTTTTATTGGGGGCTCTTACCACAATCCATACATCAATTGTATGCAGCACATTTGTACACATGCTGCCATTAACATTTTCTTTCTACTTGAGCCCTTGGTATCAGCAACTCTTTTTTTCTCTCCTTCCCCCACCCTCCCACCCTCATTAACCCTTGATAAATTACAAATTATTATTATTTTCATATCTTACGGGTCTGCTGTCTGCCTTCATCCACATTTCTGTCGTCCACATGTCCCCCGGTGTATGTGTGTATGTTATACGCTGATCATTGCAATCGATTCCCCTTCTCCACCTTCCCCCTAACCTCACGGTATCAATATTCCCATTATTGTTCCTGAGGGGTTTATCTGTCCTGGATTCCGTGTGTTGAGAGGTCTTATCTGTACCAGTGTACATGCTCTGGTCTAGCCAGATTTGTAAGATAGGACTGAAAAGTAAGCTTTAATAATAAAGCCAAAATACTGTTTCTGGATTCCAGGCTGTGACCTCTTCCCCACACACCTATCCCTGAGGCCCTCCAGAGCAAGCAACTGTGTGTGCGCCCACACACACGCCAGGAGGAGGACGTGGGGCACCCGGACAACCACCCCCTGGAGATCAGAGAGCCCCACCGATGAGGGCTGGACTCTGTATTCCTGTCAACTCCAGAACCTGCTTCCACGGCTGCCTAAGGGGAGTTTTCGCAAGATGCGTGGAGATGGCAGAAAAATGTCAGTTCCACAGAAAGAGAGAAAGAAAAGCAGGCACAAATAAGTGAACAATCTGAAAATGCTAGGAATTGGCTGAAGATTAAAAGGCTCTGGAATGATTTTAAGAAGAATTCAGAAGAATGACTATGGTACTTTTAACATAGAGGAAGCATCAGAGAGACCAAAGGAAAGAATAGAAAAAGTAGAAACCTTATCAGAAAAATACCAAACAGAAACCCAAAAGAGGAATGCAAATAAAACCACACAACATTATAAAAGGAACAGAGTCAAAGAGCTGAAGAAATTGAAAGCTGAATTAGTGAGCGTGAAGACAAATTTACGAGAAGAACAACATAGAAAAAGAGCAAAAGACTCAGAATAAAGAAAGCCCAAGAGTTATGTGGGAGCCATAATCAAGAGAAACAACCTATGTTCCGTTGAGATTCCTAACAGGAAGCAACAGAACTCCACAGAGAAAATGAGACAAGGGGCCCTGGAAGAGAGCTTCGCATCAGACTGAGCGAGGAGAAAAGCAGCGTCCAGGAGGCTGAGAGGAGCCTGAACGGGCAGACCCCACGGCAAAGCGCCGGACAGCCGTGCTCACACGCTCCAATGTCAAGTCCAAGGAGAGACTTCTGAGAGCAGCATGGGGAAAAAGAAGAGTCGCCTACAAAGGAAAACCATTAACGATGAGTCCATTTTTCCAGCAGAAACCACACCAACAAGCTGACAATGGAATGCCATTCATAAAAGTCTGGAAGAAAAAATTGCCAACCAAGAATCTTATATCCAGGAAAATTAACAATCAAATATGAGGGAGAAACAAGAGTTATTTCCAGACAAGAGGTTTGTAAAAAAGAAAAGAAAAAAGAAAAAGAAATGAAGACCAGCATTACTAAGCAGAAAAAGGTTTCCTTAGTAAAAAAATACTAAGCAGTGTACAAAGAACGAACAAACAGCAGCAGACAAACCTGAGGTCAACATCAAGACAACACCACACAAAAACCAACACACTTGGTCTCTTGTTCAGCGCTGAGAGAGGAGCCGGAAGCCAGGGATTGTGTTAAGAAAATGGCAGACAAGCCAGACATGGGAGAAACTGCCAGCTTCGATAAGGCCAAGCTGAAGAAAATGGAGACACAGGAGAACACCTTGCCGACCAAAGAGACCATTGAGCAGGAGAAGTGGAGTGAGATCTCCTAATCCTGGAGGAAGAGTCACCTGCAAGGTGGACACGAGCGACAAGCTGCACTGTGACCCTACCGGCCTCCAGGTCCGAAGGGACTCCCAAGTTCTCCGGTCTGCCCTGGGATACTATGGAAAATGACTTGTATGAGTAATGGAAATAAAACACTCCTTGTGGCATAAAAAACAAACCAACCCACTCAAAGCAGTGTCCAAAACAGCACAAAAATATAAGAAGAACAAGGAAACGATCAGCACCACACACATGAAAACATACATGACGATGGCAACAACACACTCATCCACATCAATAATGACACTGGAAGTTCATGGATTAAATGCATGAGTCAAAACAGAGTAGCTGAATAAGAGCACAAGCCTGACAAAGAAACACACCTTAGCCACAAAGATAAATATAGACTAAAAAAGATGGGGGGGAAATCTAGCAAAGGTCCAAAAAATAAACAGGAATGGCACTATTAATCTCCACTGAAAGAGATCTCGTGAGCGACACAGAAGGGCGTTACATGACAATGAACGACTGGAGACGTCGCCATGACCAGAACCACGGAAGTCCCTCAGCACACACACTGCAGCACACTCACAGCTGAAGAGAGACTGACAGTGACGGTGGGAGACACCAGTACACCACTGCCAAGGCGTGAGATCACTGGGAGAAAAACTCAATCCAGAGACGTAAATAACACAATTAGCCACCTTGATCTCCAAAACAAATATAGAACACTCCACTCAGCACCAGCAGTTTACATTCTCTTCAGCGTGCACAGCGCATTCTCTAGAATACATGTTAGGACACAGAGCAATCATTAATAAAGATTTACAATGCTGAGATACTACAATCCATTTTCTAATACCACAACACTATAAAATCAGACACCAACAATAGGAAGAGTAACACACTGCGAAGTATCTACTGGGTAATTGATGAAATTAGGAGTGAACTTGAGACACAGCAAATGCAGTACTCAGAGGGTAATTTATAGCAATAAATACACACATTAAATAAAGTAGAACCAGCACCTTAGCCCAGCACCTTCAACAACTAGAACAAGAGCAGTATATTAAACATTCAATCACTAGGAGAAAAGAAATCATTAATATTAAAGCAGAAATACATGAACTGAAAAACAATAGAAAAAAAATCAGCAAGACAAGAAGTTGGTTCATCAAAAGGTTTAACAAAAAATAGAAACCACTAGAAAAATTAAAGGAAAAGAAAGATATGGTATAACTACCAGGGATGACATAAAAGATTCTAACAGATCCTAACAAACTTTTAAAAATGCTTTTAAAAGATTAAAATGAAATTAAAAAACAAAAATAAAACACATTACAATGAAAGGCTATACTCCAACAAATGTGCAAACTTGGGAAAATGGCAAAAGTCTAGAAATGCATTATCTACCTGAATTAACACAGACTGATGTAGAAAACTTCAACAAACGAAGAAATAGATCAGGTCATTACAAAATTTCCAGAAAAAAAAGTCCAGAGTCAGATGGCTTTGCAGGACAATTCTACCAAGTATTCAGAGAAGAATCAAAAGCAATTCTCCACAAACTATTCCAGAATATAGAAAAGAATAGCAACTTCCAAACTCCTTTGATGAAGGTGAGCATACCCGATAGCAAAACCAGGCAGAGGCACCACCAAAACAGAAAACCAGTGACCAACATTTCTCATGAGCGTAGGCACAAAATCCTCAACAAAACACAGCCAATAGAATCCAACAATGTATCAAAAACAAACAAACAAAAGCTCCTCCCCAGGATCAAATGGGACCCTACCAGGTGTGCAAGGACGGCTCGACATAAGGAAACCAGTTACGGAAACCCACCACCTGAACAAAGGAAAGCATCAGGACCATCCGCTCATGCCCCTGATGCCGAAAAGGCGTTGGATGAAACCCAACACCCATCCTGATACAATGCTGAGCAAAATGGGAAGAGAAGAGAAATTTCTCCACACAACAAAGGCATTCACATCAAATGGAACAGACTTTGGAGATTGGCAAAGGTGGGAGGGCAAGAGAGGGAAAATAAAGCAACGGGCCAGACCAGGGCAAATGGCAGCTCCCAAGGCAGATGTGGCTCTTTCAGGATGTACATGTGGCTCAGAAGTAAAACGGAACCATTTTAAAGAATATTATTCAGATAATGGTGATTTCATTGGTTTGTAAAAATATATGTATGGCCCTCGAATAATTTCTAAATTGTTTTTGGACAGGATTGGCTCTTCTGTCTCAAAAGATGGCCAGGCCCTGGGCTAGCCTGCTGCTGGATGCTAACTTAGATGTAATCAAAGACAGCAGTCCAGAGAGGGAGAAGAGAAAGCAAGGAGCGGGTGCAGGGGAAACCACCGGCCATCGGAGGGGTGATTAGCTTAGACTGTTGAATACAAAAGTAATGATCCGAAATGTAAACCCCCACCCTAATTTTCAATCAAACATTAAGGACAAAATAAGCAAGCAAGCAAACCAACAAATGCTGGCCACCAGACAGCACAGGGGACTAGGGACCTGACCTGACAGTCACTAGCTCTAGGTATGGTTCTCGAGGCAGGTAAACTGAGTCAAAATGATCCTCAGGTTACTCCCAGGCGGGGAGAATGTGCAGTGCACAGGCATCTGGAGTCATGAGGATCCGCACCTGCGAGCACCCAAATCAAGTGCAACCCAAGGACATAGGGGGGCGGAGTGGGTGTGCACGCGCACGTGTGTGTGGCATCCCCTGCACTATCAAAGGGATTACTGATAGTGCCTCTCTTCTAGAAATACCATATGCCGTTAATGAGGTTTCCACATGCCTTTGCTGCCATAAAAACTAGGGTTAAGACCTTGCAGAGCCTGAAAAGCCAGAGACCTAGCAGATAGCCACATGCAGGGAGCGCTCCCTGGAGGTCTCCAAACTGCCCCAAGCTTTTTCAGTCCCTGATTCACTGGGGTTTGAAGCTCAGAGAGTGGGGCGGCTTGGCTCCTCCTGAAGGGTGAGGGGCCCCTCTGCTCTTGCGGGATCGGGGGTGGGGTGGGGGTGTGCTGACAACACATCTGCAGGTTCCACTGGCTGCTCTTGTGGTGCGCACCACTAGAGGGCAGGCTAGGGCGTTAAAGTACTAACCCATGACCACTGAGTGGATTCTGACACAGAGACCCCGAGAACTGTTCCTTTCGCTTTCTGGGACTGTGTATCTTTTAATTTTTCTTTCAGATATCAATTTTTATCCTTTTCATGTGTTTTCAACAATCTTCTTTCTTTAATTATGGTCTTATTACTATTATCTTTTTAAAAATACTTTTATTGGGGGCTCTTACATCTCTTATCACAATCCATACATTCCTCCAATATGTCAAGTACATTTGCACATATGCCGCCATCACTACTTTCAAAGAATTCTTTCCACTTGAGCCCCTGATATCAGCTCCCCATTTCTTCCCCCTCCCTCCCGCTCCCCCCTCCCTTACGAACCCTTGATAAGTTATAGATTATTTTTCCATATCTTACATCATCCTCCGTCACCCCTCACCCACTTTTCTGTTATTCATCCCCCTGGGAGGGGGTTCTATCTACATTGATCCTTGTGATCGATACCCCCTTCCCCACCCTCCCCTAATCCTCCTGGTATCTCTACTCTCCTTATTGGCCCTGAGGGATCTATCTATCCTGGATTCCCTGTGTTGCGGGCTCTTATCTGTAGCAGTGTGCATGTTCTGTTCTAATCTGATTTGTAAGGTAGAATTGAGGTCGTGATAGTCATGTGAAGGAAGCACCAAAGAGTTAGAGGAAAGTTGTGTGTTTCATTGGTTCTATACTGCAGCCTGACTGGCTCATCTCTTCCCTGTGACCTCTGGGACTGTACATCTTTATGGGAGTAGACTGGCTCCTCTGTCTCTTGAAGAGCGGCTGGTGGATTTAAACCGATGACCTTGTCATTAGCAGCCCAAAGCGTAACTCACAGCACCACCAGGGCTCCTGTTAAAACACAGCAGAATCATCTCCCCAAGGAGCTATTGTTTCACAGGAGACTCCTTCCACTAGCAGAGAGATGACAGCGCATCACGTTGGCAAACATAAAGGAAACGGGTGAGAAATTTAAGCAGCTCAGCAAGGCTCAAAGAAATTGGATCTGATTCAGCTTCTTCTTCCTTTTTTAAATATACCACGCTTCTAAAGGATCTCCAGAGTCCAGTCTCTCGTTCCCTTTAGATTGACTCTCGGCTCTCACAGCTTAGCTTGTGTTGCCCAAAGAGAGGGACACTGACCTCTCCTTCCTTCCAGGGACCCCAGCTGCTAACACGGTGCTGCCAGGGAAGACCGCCACTCACGTCTCCCTTCCTTTTCTGTCTTCCTTCTTGCTGCCCGCAACAGCGCCTCTCCAGCCTCCCGTCTCCCCGGGAAGGAGAGTGGGCAGGCCCCGGCCTCAGAGCACCCAACCGCCGGCCTTTCTTTGCGCTGGAATAACCTTTCTCAAGACCTCTTATCGTTATGGCAAAAGCTACTACCGTTTTCCATTTACAGTGATGGCGTACGGTTTTCTCTCGAGATAAACACGCACAAATACAAAATCAGTAAGGCATGCCACTTTAAGAGAACCTCAGGAGCAGAAATGGTCTGCCTGGGCAGCCATCAGGTCTGTTCCAGGTCCTTCCAACCCTGACATCGCTCTGAGCACTGGTCTGCATGTGGCATCCTGGGGGCAGGATTAAGCTCCTTTCTGTCCTCCACCCACCTAGCGCCCAGTCCTACAGCACACACTGTGTTAGGCCTCTGCCACTCCCTGGTGGTGATGCCTTCCCCTCCACCTGCACCTTTCAAACCTCTGTTTGTCCTCCAGAAATAAATTAAATATTGCCTCTCCCATGAGGGTGATCACCCAGCAGCCCAAGCTCTGCCAGTGTGGCCCAGGCAGCCCCATGTCTACCTCTGGAGATCACATTCAATGGCTGCGAGCCCCCGTGCTTTGTGCACTCCTCCGTAGGCAACACCCACAGAGAGTCCCTGCACAGGTGACAGGTACACGAGAGCCACGGCCCGACTCAGCTGTCTGTCACAGTGTACCAGGAGGGGAAGACCCCCTCATTTACTCTCAGCCTTCATGCCCTGCAGGTACCAGGCTGCAAGTGGGTGCTAAGAGAGTTTTCTTGCCTGAGCCTGAGCCTGAAGCTCAGGGAACAGCTCACCTCGGAGGTTCTTGACAAAGTCCTCCAGCTTCATCTTACGCTCGGGCTTGACGTTGGGGCTGTACATGTCCGTGTTGAGCAGGATGATGGCAAAGGCCAGGATGAATATAGTGTCTGGGTTCCGGAACTGCCGCACGACTCCGGGGTTGCAGATACAGTACCGCTGGCTACAGGCCGGGGGAGAAGAGGCAGGTCAGGGCCACTCTGCCTGGCCAGCAGGGAGACTGCCTCCTCACTCCTGAGCAGCCACTACGACTCATGTCCCGCACTCACTGCTGGGCCTTGGAGATGACCAAGGGTGGTCATTCCCTCTGACCCTCCATTTCTACATTCGGGAGACAGGGAGAACCCCTGCTTCTTAGAGAAGGCTCTCCCAACCACTGGGCCTTTCTCACTTTATTCCAGCCCCGCTCACTCCATACAGTTTAGCTACTCAGGATAAGGAGCACATTTCCCAGTCCTCCTTGTGTGCTGGCCAGATACTCAGAGGGCACCTTCAAGGTTGTTTCTTAAAAGGGCAGGGAGTGTGCCCTCGGCTCCTCTCCTCTCCTCTCCCTGCTTGGACGGGGACACGATGAGACGTGTCAGGTCTGCCATGTGGGGTTTGTCTCCCTACCAGCTCAGACAGAAATGAACGTCCTGGTTACTGTGGGATCAGCGAAGACTCCCTCAGATATCTTTCTCCCCCAGTCACCCCTCCCTCGTCCAAGTGCCCCCTGGAGCAGTGAGCTCGTGGAGTCAGGGGAGCTCCCTGACTGAGGTTCAGGGGGGAGCAGGCAGCAGCCAGTCCAACCTCTCCTTGGAAGCCCAGCTTAGTGCAGTCCCTCCAGGAAGCTTCCTGGGAGTAAGCGTATACACGAGGTTGTCCTCAGTCCTCCTTGACCCCACAGGGCTGGGCCAGCAGCTGGTTCATGGTCACCCAACTACCAGTGACCACACAGAATGACTGTATTCAACAGCTGGCATGGACTGCAGGTCATACGACTAGATTCGGAAAAGCAGATGACTGACTGATGAGACCTTAATGCTGTACCAAACCCGGGCCTCAACACTAACTGGAAACCATGACTTTGGGCACGCCGCTTAGCCTCTTTCAATTTCAGTTTTCTCATCTGCAAACCTCACAGTTAGGATACTAAAGGCCCACCATGGCCACTCTGTTCTGTAAGGAGATGGCAAAGTGCCTAGCATGCAAGAGGGGGTGTCCTGTGATCACCCCCAAAGCAACAGACATAGACACGTGCCCCCACTTAGGTGAAGGGGATCAGGGGGGACTCAGTCTTGCCACAGGCACTGGAGCAGGAGCACTCCTCGCCCCTGACGCTCCCCGTCCCAACAGCAGCCCCAACCTGAAGGCCTCGATGAGCCGCTCCACTTTCTGTGCCTCCCCCTGGACACGGATGTGAGCCTGGAATTTCCGGAGGGCTTCGTCCAGCTCCATGGCTGAGAAGTCCATCTCGTCTACCACGCAGCTGCAACAGAGACGGTGGGTAGATTCCATTAGCCGCAGCACCCCTCTGGCTTCCACTGCCAAGAGGCAATCAGGTCCCACCCACACCAGGATGACTCTGGTCAGGAAGGGTTCTGCTCCACTTCCTCCACCCAGCAAAGTCCGACGCTGCAGAATATGGCAGAAAGATCCCAGTGCTTCAAGAGGAGTGCCAGGAACCCACTTAAAGTATAGGGACATGTCTGGCCTTACATTTATTTATATGTGCAGTTTTCTACTGAGGGGGCCAGAGCATATGGCTAGGTGTGTGGATTCCTTCTCTGTAAGGGCCCATTTTCCGGAAACAAGCCTGGAGGTTAATCGAGTCCCATGGCTCACATTACTGCTATGAATCTTCTCTTGTGTGAGGGGGAAAGTTGCAGCCTTCAATTTTCAAAAAGAGAAAAAGGAAAAAAAAAAAATGCTCCAGGCAGTACCGTGCTTGGCCTCCCCTTGCTAGGATCACTGGTAGGTTCACAAGTGGAGGCTGCCCCAGGCACACGGGGGAAGCGAGGGGCCAGAGCCATGTGGGGCTGTTTGCTGACCACTGTCCCAGCAACTGCCCTAGTGGCTGCCTGGCGTGGTGGGTGAGGAGTCGCCTTGATACTTCCTGAAGCCAGTGCTATTTTCTGATCCAAGGGGAACAATACATGGATTTCCTATGGCCTAGAGCCAGCTGGAAAGGGGTGGGGGGCTGCAGGGGGTGAAGGGGAGGTGGCTGGACCAAGGCTGTTTTCGGCTGTTGGTTTAATGAGAAGCTAATTTGCACTCTACTAAACCATCTCTCTCCCCCAGGTACAGCGGGGCAACCACCATCAGACATACACTGCAGTGGGTTTTTCCCGGGGAAGCTGTAGCTGCAGCAGAAACCTCAGGCAGGGATCTGAAAGAACCACCCAGGCATGGGTATCTTGTTGGGTGCTGCCACACACCTGCTCCCACATCAATTCCCCCGGAAGCCCTTGGCTCCCTTACTCGCCACTTGTTCCTCGGAGCATGTGTGGGTACGAGCATGTGACGGAACACACTGGCGTGTGTGCAGGGAAAGCCCAGTCAGCCCCGGCCCGTGAGACCCTCCTCCCACAGGAGGTCAGACGGGATGGGGCACACAGGCTTGGCTCTCGGGAGGGCAGCCATACCGTGGGATTAGTCTCTCCAAAGAAGTGGAGATCCTGGGAGAACCCACCCCGCCTCCCGCGAGAGGTGTGTGTTAGAATCCCACCCCACAGGGGCTCCTCTGAGGGAGAGGCTGCCACAATTAGTTGATGATTAACCCTTGACCACCCTGCTTCCCTGTTTGCTCCTGGCCTTCCAGGCTGTCAGAACTGTTTGGACAAAAAACAGCCCTAGAGACAAGGCTTGGGGTGCTCCCCCACCAAGCAAGGCGACGCAGGAGATCCATGTGCAGCCATCCTCCCAGTTGCAGTTTGGTTTCCGCAATGTCTGTCTATGGGGCTGATGGGAGAGTTCTCCTGAGAAAATGAGAGAGGGTCTGAGGCTCAGGGTCTGCTCAGGACAAGTAATTATCCTGTGGTGGCCGCTCTACTCAGGAGAATGTAAGGAGAAAGAGACTTCGGGTGCAAATAGAAAGGTCTGGAGGCTGAAAGCACATGGGGCTACTCACTGCAAGGACGAAGGCTCAAATCAAGACCAGGTAGTCTGCTTCCAGAAAGATTTACTGTCTGGGAAAGCCTATGGGGCAGTTCAACTCGAATGCTATCAGTTGGTGGCAGTGGGTGTGGAGGGGAGATCCCGGGCGAGATAACTGAAGATCACAGTCATTCCTAAGAGCTGGGAGCAGTGTCTGGTCACCAGCTCTCTGGGACGGTGGGGGCATGGGGTCGTGGGCTGCATTTTAGACGGTCCCTCCCTACTTCCCAGCCCAGAGGGTGACAGAGGCAGGGGAGCTGCAGAGCTGGGATTGTGGCTGAGGCCGAGCTCTGGGCACAGGACAACGCTGGACAGCATTGAGCGTAGGCGCCAGGCAATGGGATGCCAGTCCACAGCGAGGCTGCCAGGCAAGGGAGCAGAGGCCCAAGGCCTCTGGGATGCCTCTTCTGGGCACACTGACAGGGGCGGCGATGTGAGTGTGGGCCAGCAGGAGTGACAACTCCCTAAGTGCAGTGCTGTGGAGGAGCCAGGCCCCGAGGGTGCAAGCCAGTGGAGGGCGAGGGGGCTGGCTCAGGGCGCATGGGATGAAGGCTGCACCATTCGGTGGGGGTCCCTTCTGTGTGCACGTGCAACATGGAATGGGCCCAGGAGCAAGAAGACAGGAGAGGCGGTGTATGTCACAGCAAATGGCACATCCTTGTGACTAAGGTCTGCACATGGCGCAGGTAGCAAGTGTGCAAGGGGGACGGAGGGTGGGACCAGCTGCTTCGTGTGTGAAAAACTCACACGAAGCCAGGCGACATGCCTGTGTGACTGCATGTAAGCGTGCAAGGTGGAGGGAGGTCACAGGGCCGCGTGCGCCCACCACAGCACTCACTCAAGCACGTCGCGGTTGAACTGCTTCTGCCGGTTGCCCAGGAACTCGCCGATCATCTGCCGACTTAGACCCTTGCGTTGCAACAGGAAGTGGGCCACCCCCACAGGCGTGTCGGGCACGAAGCCACGCTCGATGAGGTACTGGACGCCTTTCTCCGGCTTCCTGTGGGTGAAACACGCAACAGCCTAGGCCCCCAGTTCCGTCACTGTCCCGTAATCCCTGCCTGGCTCCTTGGGGGCCTCTGCTAGAGTTTTCCTCCCTGCCTGCCCGCAGCCACCATCCTTTGCCCCCTTCTCCCTGTGGGGCCCATTGGTCTACGGAGCCCAAGCCACCCTGTCTGTTCCTGCCACTGAGCCCACAGCATGGGGAGGGGTGGGAGCCAAATCCTTTACACAGACTGGCCCAGACTCTGCCCCACACACCCCAGGTGTGGCCACAGCCTGGCTATGTGGTTCAGGTGCACTTCTGCTGTGCTCTCTGTATAGCTGCCCCTTTCTGGGTTCCATTTTCCACTGCTGCCTCTTCCCTCCTTGGCTGCCTTTGGCCCCAAGCCCCTTCTTACACATACCTGCTACCTCTCTTCCTGGCTGAGCTCAAGGCTTCCCTCTACACAGAAGCCTGCAAGCATAATCGGGTACGCTGGTCTACCCTGATCCTGATAAAACACAATCCAACTGCCATGGAGTTTCTATTGACTCACCTGACTCAAAGCTCAAACTCATTGCTACCAAGTGGATGCCAACTCATAGTGGCCCCTGTAGGACAGGGTAGAACTGTCCCTGTGAGTTTCCAAGACAGTAACTCTTTACAGGAGCAGAGAGCCCCGCCTTTCTCATGAGGAGCAGCTGGTGGTTTTGAACTGCTGACCTTGCAGTTAGCAGCCCGACTCCTGTAATTCCTACGATACAAGGGCTCCAACTGACTCATAGCAACCTCATAGAGGGTTTCCAAGAATAAACCTTTACAGGAGCAGCCGCACGTATCCCATACCACCACTCAATCCGGAGAGGAAGCAATCACCACCCCCACCACTGAGCGAGCATTACTCTGAGCGGGTCAGGGTGCTCCTCATGTCTCACGTGCTACTTTACTTGGGGCTCACAACGCCCTCTGGGGTCTGTATCTGTGTTACCTGTGGTGGCTAGAAGTACTGACTGTGCAGGCAGACAGCAGGGTGAGCCTGTGCAAAGGCTATGATAATTCCCCGTGGTGGGTCGAACTGCATCTCCTCCACCCCCAAGGCTGTGCCCGTGGTCCCTGCGCCTGTGTGCACTACTTTGGTGGGTTCCTAGGGTCTTTCAGACACAGTCAGGTGAAGATGAGGTCACGTCTAGGGCGAGTGGGTCCCCAGCCAGGAGAGACCCAGGCCGAGACTGAAGGGATAGGTATATCTACGAGCCAAGGAATGCCAGAAACCAAACCTTAGAAGAGGTAAGCAAGGATCTTTCCCTTGCGAGCCTTCAGGAGAACCTGGCCCTGCTGGCTCCTTGATGTCAGCCTTTGGGCTTGTAGAACTGTGAGAGTTTACATGTCGACTGGTTTCCACCGCCTACTTGGCAGTATTTGTTATAGCAGTCCTAGGAAACGAACCAACTTCCTCCCTCAGAAGGCTTTCCCCAGTGACTGCAGTGCAGCGCTGGGAACAATGCAGGTAACCCCCCACAGGAGGGTCTCGTGAGGAAGGACTGCACAGGCTGAATGGCACCATGCCATGGATGACACATGCTGGACAGAGGGTATTTCTACACACGATCTTCCTTTACTGCAGACCATGCCATGGATGCACACATGCTGGACAGAGGGTATTTCTACACACGATCTTCCTTTACTGCAGACCATGCCATGGATGCACACATGCTGGACAGAGGGTATTTCTACACACGATCTTCCTTTACTGCAGACCATGCCATGGATGCACACATGCTGGACAGAG